TCCGCGTCTCCCGCCCCCCGCCTCCCGCGCTACCCCAGGCCTCCGCCGCACCCAACCTCTGCGCGGCACCTGGGCTCGGGGCGGCTGGACCACCATCCTACTCTGGCTGCCGCTGCCTGAGGTCGAGAGGCTGCGCCCAGTGTCTGGGCGGCACCTGGGCTTGGGGGCTGAGGAACGCGCGGGGTGTTGGGGAACAGCATCTGGGGTCCGAGGGTGCGGACAATGCACCTAGGGTTGGGTATGGGAGGCACCGCGCCTGGGCTCGGGGGAGGGCGGCCATCTGGACTAGGGCTGCCTCCGTCTGGAGTCGGAGATGTCTCCTGGGCTTGGGGACTGGACGCACCTGGGGTCTCGGTGTCGCGCCTGAAGTTGAGAATTGCGCCTGCGGTCGGGATGGAGGCTACGCATAGGTTCTGGGGGATTGCTCCTGAGGTCAGGGAAACGCTCCCGGATTGATTTGGAGAGGGGAGGAGGCCGTCTGGGATCATCTGGAGTCGGAGTGGCAGTCGCTCCTGGGGTAGGGGATGAGGGGCTGCACCTGGGTCGGGGACTGTGCCTGGGAATGGCGAACCATGGGATCCAAGGAACGCGCCTTTGCTGGGGGCGGAGGGGGTGGCCACCTAGACTTGGAGTGAGGGGTCGTGCCTGGGGTTCGAAATGGGGGGCTGCGCTTGAGGTCAGGAACCGCCTGGGGTCGGGATGGCACTTGGGCTTGGGATCCTGGGCGCGCCTGGGGTCGCGATGTCGCGTCTGAGGTGCGGGAAACGCGCCTGTGCTCAGGATGGGGAGGCGGGGCGGTAGCCTGGGGCCACCTGGATTCGGAGTGGGGGTCGCGCCTGGGGTCGCGTCGCTCTGGGCCCGCCGTGTCCGGCCCCCACCCACGAGTCCCCGGGCCGCCCGCCGGCGGCGGTGGCGGCGGAAGCGACCCGCAACGCTGTTTGTCTTTTTAGGTATCTAAAGGAGTTTAGGACAGAGCAGTGCTCCCTGTTTGTGCAGCACAAGTGCACCCAGCACAGGCCATTTACCTGTTTCCATTGGCATTTCCTAAATCAGCGTCGGCGCAGACCGCTCCGCAGGCGCGACGGCACCTTCAACTACAGCCCGGACGTGTACTGCTCCAAGTACGACGAGGCCAGCGGCGTGTGCCCCGACGGCGACGAGTGAGTGTGTGTGTATGTGGGGGGGAGGGGGTGGGGTGGGCAGCGCCAACTACTGTGCCCCTGGATCTGCCTTGCTTGGGGTCGCGGGGCAGACCCCTGGTTCTTTTCAGCACCTAGCACACCTGTACAGGGGATCCTGTCTTTACTCTGAAGTTTTTCCGTGACTAGGACTGGTGGTGGTGGGGGGAGCGGAGCATTTCTCTATCTTTAGACCAGTGTGGGAAGAAGGACTGTGTGTGTCTCAGGAATAACCCTTGCATGGTTCAAACCGAATTTGCTTCACTTCCCACTTTCGATTGCCACAGAGTTTTCCAAATTTCCTACATTAGAACCGGCCCTAATGAGGTACAGCTTCCAGGTTTAGGATTATTTTTGTAGTTGTCAGTTGTTTTTGTAACAAGAGCTTGTTAGAATGTTTGTTTACACTATGCAAATGTATATGGAATGTTTCCTTTCATGCTGTTTACATGTTTAATTTTTAAAAAATAATTTATAGGAAAGTTATTTGCAGAGTGTTATGTAGCACTTTTAAAGTTTAAGAAATCAAGATTTTGTTTGGATAGACCTTTTCATATGTATATAAGTTTCCTAATGGTGTTATGAACAGATGTCTTTATTTTGAAATATGTAGAATGGGAAAATGGGAAGTACAGTCAGCTTGTATATTCATATAATGAGCAGAAATTGGTAGCGGGAGGCTTTGCTTTTTTTCTGTGGGCTGTTTGAGGTGAGGAGGGGTTGTCCATTCCTGCCAGGAGGTGGAATGGCATCACTGTGCTTTAGAGCCCTCTGAGAACAACTTATTCAACTTCTGTCAGGATTAGGGTCTGATTTGGAAGAAATCTTCAGGTCCATCCCCTGATCCCTCTGAAGGGAAATGATTCTCCAGGTATACTCCCTTTTGAAGACAGTTTTCATCCCACCGTACATAAAGATAGGTGGAGCGTTTTCCTTCATTGTCCAAAATGCTTAAGCCAGGGAATCAACTTTTAATCTGTGGTGATTTGATACATTTTATACACTTACTGAAAGGTGTTTAGTTGAACACCAGCTAATTACATAGTGTTGTCGTTAAGGTAGCATGAAACCCGTTGAAATAACGTAGCCAGCTCCACCTTGGTTAAGATGGCTATACTTCTATAAAGTTTGAAAAGTGCCCTATTCTGCAAATGCGTCTTCAGAA